GCGTGGGGAAAATTTTATAGTAGCACTTACAAAAACCAACTTTTAGAAGCGGTAGCAACTATTCCGTATCAATTTTTTCTAGGTTGGGGAAGTCGTGGAGAGATAGTTGACCGGACAAGTTTTGATTTTTGGCTTCTATGGAAGTGGTTTGGGATTTGTTGGGGTAGGTTTGGTTTAGTCAAGTTTGGGCTTTTGGCATGAGATTAATTTTTAGGAAGGATTTGGATTTGGGGTTGGAGTTCTTGTTCCTCTAATTCAGTTATTTTTTTATTAACCATATCGACGAATAATTCTTTTTCTACTAACTTAAGAAAATTTCACCTGCGGTCTTCTAAGTTATCCAATTCCATCATGTCTACTGGGCAATCAAAATTACTCACGCTAGGTACCAAAATAGCAAGCCCTCCATACTTTTCATTGTTTTTAATTTTCCATTTTTCCTTACTGAAAATTACTAAAGTATCTTCTTCTTTTATTTTTTCAAGGGTCTCTTTAGATCCTTTCAACGCAATGCTATTGCTATAATCCCTGCTGTCACCTGTAAATACGTAGACCATAAGTAATCCAACCATATCCTCAGTTCTTTGAAAAACATGAATACTTTTCGTTTTGTCCAAAGCTTTTATTGAACGCTGAGAACCAATTAACTTAATACCGCTTTCCGTAAATTCTGCACTTTTTGGTTCACAAACTATATCTATTCATCCTCGTAAGTTAGTTGAACCTTTCTCGTCTATCTCTGGTATTCACCATAAATAAGGCCTATTTCTCCGGGACCCATGTCAAGAAAGAATTTCGCTGTCATGACCTGCTTCGACAGATGTTTTCATTGTCTCTAGTAAGGCCTGTTCTGGTTTTAAGGAATAATCAACTTTTACCTTTTCACCATAAGGTAATAAACCGAGGACGGAATAAATTCCGTCAATAGGATTACCACGGCCACGTTTTTTAATGACTATTAAGGACTGGGATAGCCATAGATTGACTTGATCTCAATGATCATCTCTCTGCTTGTAATATGTTCAACCTAGTGGAGTAACAAATATCCGAGGCTCTTTGTTTAAATTTTCTTCGGGATGACCGACTTGTTGGATCACTGCCCAAACTTGTGCCATCATCCTCCCATCAATTAAAACGTCATCAAACATAAAAATAGTTTGTTTACTTAGTCAGCCTTCTTGGAAAGTTCAAGAACGAGTAAATCACTGAGAACTAATTACTTTTTTTAATATTTCTATCACAGACTCTTCTTTGCTTTCTTCGTGTGTTACTTTATCCTTGGCATCAGCATTTATAGAAATTAGAGTCGCCTCGCCCTCACCATAACATTTTCTCATTTTTCTGACTTCTTCGGCTTTTTCTTCTCGGTCTTTTTGGTTAATGCAGAGTTGATCTATCCAGAGATAGTCAATACCTAGAAATTTGCAAGCAGCAATAGCTTTAATCAGAGATTTTTTTCCTCATTTAGTAATAGTTAGTTCTTCTTCGTATATTTCACTCCCTCTTTGATAAGTCATTTTCATTTCCTCAGCTATTTTTTTATCTCTTGTACTTCCTCAAACATAAGATAAAGTGGCGTAAGATTTTATGTTTAGATTGTTAGCAGTTCATTCTACTCTGTTTGTTTTGATATTGTAAAGTTTAATAGGTAAACTTTTAGGAAGTTGTGACTTAGATTGGTTAGTTTTTTCTCAAGAAAAAGGGCGATTATCTCTCAAGACAACTTCAGAGTATTTTTTTATTTTCTCTAGATTATGATTTTCTTCTAACTTGACTTCATCTTGATTGAAAAATTGATACGGAATAGTTGCTACCGCTTCTAAAAGTTGGTTTTTGTAAGTGCTACTATAAAATTTTCCCCACGC